CTCCCCTCCCCTCCTCTCCTCTCCCCTCCTCTCCTCTTCCTTTCTCTCCTCCTGATTTACCAGCATATCACAGACTAAGAGGTATGGAATAAGAAAGAATGGTGAGGAGATGAAAGTGTTCAAAGGAAGTAGTAAAAGGTGGTCTTAGCATAAAGATTCCAAGTTCTGAACGGATTTACATTCTGGTGCAGATGCTTCTCAAATGTATAAACCTGAGCAACTTCATGCACACATGATTGCCCAAACACTCACTGAGCACCCCCTGTGGGATAGGGCAGAGATGGTTGTGTGTGAGCTCAGTGCCCTCAGGTAGCTGCTGGTCCGGGGCTGGGGCTGGGGGATCAGAAGGGAAATGACTGCAGTGTGGTATGTAAAGTGCCACAGTGGGAGAGCACAGGGGCTGCAGCCCACCCAGGTGCATTCAGGAGTGGCTAAAAGAGGAAAAGGGTAGGGGTGTGCCTGGGAGAAGTGGGTGAAGGAAGACTGCTCCCAATCGGGGAAGAGTATCATGGTTTATTTTTAACCCCTGCGGCCCGCAGTGAGGAATAAGAGCAGTACCTACTTTGCGAGAGAGTTGTCAGAGTGTATTGATAGAGCAAAGTAGCTGGACGTATTGCTAAAAGGTGGAATTTGACCAAAGATGATGGTAGCATCTGAATTGGTGTCAGACTAACCTGGGTAGGACTTAGCTGCTCACACTAGATCAGGAAGACTAGCTTCTCATGGACCTTCTGTGTTTTCAGCCAAACCTCACTGCAAGACACCTTCTAGAGAAGAACAAAGGCCGGCAGTCAGCCCACACGAAGAGCCTGTCACTGGTGCCCTCATCCTCCCAAGGCAAAGCAACCAACACGCCCACCCTGCGAAGGGGCCCTGGGCCCAGGAGGAAGGGGCCTGGCCAGTTCTCCATCACAACAGCCTTGAACACTCTCAACAGGATGGTCCATTCTCCCTCGGGGCGTCATATGGTGGAGATCAGCACCCCGGTGCTCATCAGCTCCAGCAACCCCTCTGTGATCACCCAGCATATGGAGAAAGCAGATGTTCCTCCCAGCTCTGTGGGGCAGGTAGGAAACAGACCGCTGGGATAAGGGCACCTTGGTATTAGGCAGGTCATACACACCATGTCACAAGCAGTATTGGATATTTAGTACTTGCTGAGCATCCATAATGCATTAATAGTAACTACTGCTGTGTGTATTATGTGTCAGAGCTGTAGACACATGATCTCATGTTGTCCTTGAAACAGCCTCTAGAGTTAGGTATTATTACTGTTATCCCCATTTCACAGGTGAGAAAACTGAGGCCCAGAGGAGTTAAACAAGTTGCCAGAGCCTCACAGATACTTTGCTTTCCCATGCCAAAAGCCATGACATGGTTCCTGTCCCTTAAAGAACTTCCCTCCAAATATGGCACCCATTTTCCAGAGTGGGTTTTGGCATCACGATTAGAGCTTCACTTTCTTGTCCTGTGGCATCATGTGGCAAGGAAGGAAAAGAGAAAAAGGGAAACTGTGGGTTACTAGGTGTTTTCAGGACTGGCTCCGTAATCTGTAGTGAAAAGTGAAATAAGATAATACATGCAAAGTGCTTGGCACAATGCCTGGCACATAACTGAACACCCAATGAGCACTAGCTCTTAATACTATTATTATTAAGCCCAAACACTGAATTGCCACCTGAAGGGAGATAAGCCAAGTGGCGATTGTGGCAATCCAGAAGCAGAAGTACTTCTAACAGCATGTGGCTATTTAGGTTGAAGGGTACTTTGAAAGATGAAGGACTGGAGGTATGAGGCAAAGTAATTAAGAACAACTGCATGTTGGGGATTCTGTTGAAAACACTCTTTGGAACCATGCAGGTGGCAACTTGAAAGGACAAACTTCAACTTGCACTGATGTATTTTTTTTGAAGCTGTAAATCTTGTTTTAAAACATGAATCTCTACCTTGGGATTAAAGGACTTAATTGGACTCTAATCCTTCTTTAACAAGACAAGGAGGAGGAGAAAGTCAAGGGCTTCTCAAAGACCCGTGTGCTGGTCTGAAACGAAAATAGTCTCCATCTACGACATTTTATATCTTACACCACTGTCTGGATCTCTAAGAGGCTGGCTGCTCATGTACTTCAGCCCACCACCTGCACAACATACAGTCACACACACACACAGTAACACACACAAATACATCTTCCCCTCCACGTACTCTCTCCTTACATAAAGAACCATAAAGTCCCCTTCCTACACACACATTCCAAATGCTTTTTTACAAGTACGTACACGCTTTGTGCCCAAAATTCTCCCTCCACCACACACACACACACACACACACACACACACACACACACACACACTCTCTCTCTCTCTCTCTCTCTCTCTCCCTCTCTCTCTCTCTCAAATGAGGGGCCTAGTGACTTACAACTAAGCCAAAGACTAACTGAATTTTTCTGAAGCCATTTTTTTATAGAGAGAGATAGATATAGAAAGTACAGCCCACACTCAGTAGATATAAGCAGACTCACTCAGCTGTAAGTTGGTTTCCCAAAAGATTTAGCCAAGAGTCACTTTTCATGTGCCTTTATAATTCTTCTTTCCAGTCATTTACCTCATCCACAGAGAGGCTGGACCAGAGTAGAGAATCCTAGTGGGATTTAAAATAAAGAGTATCCCCCCCCAAAAAAATTTTTTAATAAAAAAATAAATAAATAAATAATGTTTCTTCCTAGTTTTCACAGATGGTGAGAATTCCAAAGTAGGGCATTTGCATAGCCTATTCCGAGGGAACCTATGCACAGTACTGATAGCCTCTCTCGATTCAGATGGCTGTGGATTATAAGTATTTCTACATGTTTGCCCAGGTGTTGTAAAAAACATTAAGGCTTCACTTATAAGCTACAGCTAAAAAAAGTAAAAAATTGAGCAAATGACAAGTTCTTTTGCTTCCTTTTCTCTCTAACATCCTTTCAGGCTTCCCTTACCTTCCCCATCCCACCACCCTGCACAGTGCCTAGTCCTAGTAAGGCACTGCAAGTCAAGGAATCAAGACTTTTGACTTAAACATCAGTTTAAGGGCAGATGGTGGTGACATATACTCAGACAGGGAAAACTGGAGGAGGAATAGTTTCCTGTAGAAAGTTCACACAGGTCAGCGTAACTCTTTCAACCAATAAACATCTGTTGGGTGCTTACAGTGTGCTAATGACCATAATGAGTACTGGGGATTCTACTACCAATACAAGAAGAACAGCGGCAATAACCTTGAACACTTACTGCGACTAATATGATTGATGATAGAGAAATGGATAGGATGATATCCCCTGATAGCAAAGTCTTTATTCACTGCTGGTCTCCTAAATCCTGCCCTCTCTCCCAAAAGATGGTAAGAGCCTTTGTAGGGGAGGTATTATCACCACTTTACAGCAAGGCAATTAATGTCCCCCCAAAATAATATGGTCATAGTTCATGCAATTAGTAAACAGTGAGAGTCTGGATTAACCCTAGAATTGTCTGATTCTAGAACATACACTCTTGTCACTGCACTGTGCCATCAACAGAGACGTCATCAGGCAACGCTATTAGGATGTCAGTGTGGTTCATCTTGGAAGTCTGTAGCCCCCCTCCCCTCAGACTCTTCACCAGACTCCCTTTAGACTCCCAGGCACTCCAGCGTTGTCCTCCCCAGCCACCCCATTCTCCAGTAAAGAATTTGTCCCAAGTCTTTTACACCTAAAGGTTTTCATTTACTATCACTTTGTTCCTTTATGAACTATCAGCTGTGTCCAACCATCACATATGCTGCTGAAGGCACCACGAGTAAGCTCTCGTCATCAAGGAACTCCCAATCTAGCAGGGACACAAAAAAATGACTGACTGCGGTGGAGTTAGGGCTTCCTAACATGGGACAAGGGCCTGCTGGTACCTGCATTGACTCTAGCAGTACAGAGACCCATTGTGCAACAACACAGACCTATAGACTGAGAAGGCTATTCCTTTTCCAGTTTTCCCCAAGCCCCTGGTTGATATTAGGGAGGCCCCACTTTGGTGCTGGCACTTGCCAATAATCAGCCTCTGGAAGGAGGAAAGAGCAAGGCCTGAGGGCCAGGGCTTGAGGCAAGCTATTGCCCATCTCTGAACTGAATAACACTGAACATTTTTACCATATTGTCTGATGGGTTATCTTCCACGTATGATAAGTGATACCCATTTTATGTTCACAGAAGTGTATGAAAAGAGAGGCCAGAGCAAGGAATTTTGTTTTCCTGTTGTCGTGTCTTCTCACCTGTGGGAAACCACCTGACACATTTGGCTAGAACATCAGGAAATGACCCCAAGGATGAACTTTGCACTAAATACGACTGTACTTGACAACAATTCAGGATTAGACCTGAAGAGGCTGAGTAGGTTCTCTGGGAAACGGTGGTGGAGGAGGTTAAGCAGGAGGATTGGAACCAAAGAGTTGGCCTTTGGGAGAGTTCTGAAGATGATCTCTAGGTCTGCACTGAGAAGGGATGCCTTAGAAGGAGAAAGTCAACCGCACGGGACACAAGTTAGAAAAAAATCCTTCAGCAGGGGAAGTCACAATTGCCAGGCCCACCCTAGAGATTCTGGAATTCACTGTTCACGATGTGGAGGCTGCTTGCCGCATTCCTCCCACATCCACAGAACAATGAGGCATTCTTGTTTTCTCTAACACCGGGCTTCCTACGAGGTTCTGGTCCCTCAGCATGCCCCCCATTGCTCCCCTCCCCCACCACTACCTGTCCCCCAACCCCCCTCTTCAGCCTGCCCCTCTTCCTGTACCACAGGTCCAGGTTAGTGGAACTGCTGGCTAACTAGAAAGCCTATCGTCATTCCAGAGTTTTCTCCTTCCCTCACCTCTTACACCCGGTTAGTCAGCAGGCTCATTCTGCCCCCTGAATAGTTATACAGCTTCTGTCCATTCCATCCCAGTGCCTTCGTTTGGGTTCTCATCTCTTGCCTAGACCACTGTTTCGGCCTCCTCCCTGGTCTCCCGGAGCTCAGACTCGATCACCACACCTCGGCCCACCCACCCCTTTACCCCCGCCCATTCTTCCAGTCATAGCCTCTATCACAGCTTCTTGGAAAACCCAAATCCATTTCAGCTGCTTTTCTTGCCCAAACTGCCAGTCATTCCCTATAGACCACAGAAGAAGTAATACCTGCTGTTTATTGAGTGGCCACGGAAAGTCAGAAATCATAATGCTGATTTGCAGACATTCTGACTATCCTCACAACTGTTCAGGGTAGTGCTTGTATGCCCATTTTACCAACTAGGAAAACCCGGGGACAGAAAGGTTAGGTAACTTGCCTGAAGTCTCAAAGTGAGAAACAGAGCCAGGACTCGAGGGCAAACCTATGCTCTCTTCCCTAAATGCTTTAACTTAGGCCTTCTAGACCCTCCATGGTCTGGCTACAATCCCCCTTCCAGCACTCCCAGACCCCCACACCCACTGCACACACACACATATACACACACAAGTGTGCACACACTCTGCTTTTTGTCCACCTCTCTGCTTTTTGTCCTTGTGCCCGGCATAGTGCCTGCATTATTATGCGCAATGAACAAATGTTTGTTGATTAAATTAAAGGCTATTTCTCTTGGAATTTATTTTTGGTGCATTTACCTGTCACAATCACATCCACATACCAAAGGCCCATATGCACACCATTTCTTCAAGGAACTTCTTGCCAGTTCTCCTGGCAGAATTAATATCTCCCCCTGTGTTCACAGCATGTTGTGTATCCTAGAGTTATAACATTCTTTGCACCATCAGTACTGCACATGTATCATATCACCATGCTCACCAGGCCTGAATACTTCCTAAGGGCGGGGTGGTGTTTTGTTCATTTATGTTACTGCTGACTTTCCAAAACCCCAGTAAAGGTTTCTAATAACACTTTTTGCCTCAAGAATGAAAAACAAAGTCAGAGACCTCTGACTTTTTAAAATAATTACCAATCCCCATCCCTTCTTCCGATTACCCAGAAAACAGAAGAGATAAGACAGAGAGGAAAATAGCCGGTCACAGAAGTCAGGATAGGAATGTGAT